GTAGTGAGGAATAGCAACCTAGATACAGAATGACAGTAGTGAGGAGTAGCATCCTAGATACAGAAGGACAGGAGTGAGGAATAGCATCCTAGATACAGAATGACAGGAGTGTGGAATAGCATCCTAGATACAGAATGACAGGAGTGAGGAATAGCAACCTAGATACAGAATGACAGGAGTGAGGAGTAGCAACCTAGATACAGAATGACAGGAGTGAGGAGTAGCAACCTAGATACAGAATGACAGGAGTGAGGAGTAGCAACCTAGATACAGAATGACAGGAGTGAGGAGTAGCAACCTAGATACAGAATGACAGGAGTGAGGAGTAGCAACCTAGATACAGAAGGACAGGAGTGAGGAGTAGCAACCTAGATACAGAATGACAGGAGTGAGGAGTAGCAACCTAGATACAGAATGACAGGAGTGTGGAATAGCAACCTAGATACAGAAGGACAGGAGTGAGGAGTAGCAACCTAGATACAGAAGGACAGGAGTGTGGAATAGCAACCTAGATACAGAAGGACAGGAGTGAGGAATAGCAACCTAGATACAGAAGGACAGGAGTGTGGAATAGCAACCTAGATACAGAATGACAGGAGTGAGGAATAGCAACCTAGATACAGAATGACAGGAGTGAGGAGTAGCAACCTAGATACAGAAGGACAGGAGTGTGGAATAGCATCCTAGATACAGAATGAGTGGAGTGAGGAATAGCATCCTAGATACAGAATGACAGGAGTGAGGAATAGCATCCTAGATACAGAATGACAGGAGTGTGGAATAGCATCCTAGATACAGAATGACAGGAGTGTGGAATAGCAGCCTAGATACAGAATAACAGGAGTGTGGAATAGCATCCTAGATACAGAATGACAGGAGTGTGGAATAGCATCCTAGATACAGAATGACAGGAGTGAGGAATAGCATCCTAGATACAGAAGGACAGGAGTGAGGAATAGCAACCTAGATACAGAATGACAGGAGTGAGGAATAGCAACCTAGATACAGAATGACAGGAGTGACGAATAGCAACCTAGATACAGAAGGACAGGAGTGAGGAATAGCAACCTAGATACAGAATGACAGGAGTGAGGAATAGCAACCTAGATACAGAATGACAGGAGTGAGGAGTAGCATCCTAGATACAGAATGACAGGAGTGAGGAATAGCAACCTAGATACAGAAGGACAGGAGTGAGGAATAGCAACCTAGATACAGAATGACAGGAGTGAGGAATAGCAACCTAGATACAGAATGACAGGAGTGTGGAATAGCAACCTAGATACAGAATGACAGGAGTGAGGAGTAGCATCCTAGATACAGAATGACAGGAGTGTGGAATAGCAACCTAGATACAGAATGACAGGAGGTAGGAATAGCAACCTAGATACAGAAGGACAGGAGTGAGGAATAGCATCCTAGATACTGAATGACAGGAGTGAGGAATAGCATCCTAGATACAGAATGACAGGAGTGAGGAATAGCATCCTAGATACAGAATAACAGGAGTGAGGAATAGCATGCTAGATACAGAATGACAGGAGTGTGGAATAGCAACCTAGATACAGAATGACAGGAGTGAGGAGTAGCAACCTAGATACAGAAGGACAGGAGTGAGGAATAGCATCCTAGATACAGAAGGACAGGAGTGAGGAATAGCATCCTAGATACAGAATGACAGGAGTGAGGAATAGCAACCTAGATACAGAAGGACAGGAGTGAGGAATAGCAACCTAGATACAGAATGACAGGAGTGAGGAATAGCAACCTAGATACAGAATGACAGGAGTGAGGAGTAGCAACCTAGATACAGAATGACAGGAGTGAGGAATAGCATCCTAGATACAGAATGACAGCAGTGAGGAATAGCAACCTAGATACAGAATGACAGGAGTGAGGAATAGCAACCTAGATACAGAATGACAGGAGTGAGGAATAGCAACCTAGATACAGAAGGACAGGAGTGAGGAATAGCAACCTAGATACAGAATGACAGGAGTGAGGAATAGCAACCTAGATACAGAATGACAGGAGTGAGGAATAGCATCCTAGATACAGAATGACAGGAGTGAGGAGTAGCAACCTAGATACAGAATGACAGGAGTGTGGAATAGCATCCTAGATACAGAATGACAGGAGTGAGGAATAGCATCCTAGATACAGAATGACAGGAGTGAGGAATAGCATCCTAGATACAGAATGACAGGAGTGAGGAATAGCATCCTAGATACAGAATGACAGGAGTGAGGAATAGCAACCTAGATACAGAAGGACAGGAGTGAGGAATAGCAACCTAGATACAGAATGACAGGAGTGAGGAATAGCAACCTAGATACAGAATGACAGGAGTTAGGAATAGCAGCCTAGATACAGAATGACAGGAGTGAGGAATAGCAGCCTAGATACAGAATGACAGGAGTGAGGAATAGCAGCCTAGATACAGAATGACACGAGTGAGGAATAGCAGCCTAGATACAGAATGACAGGAGTGAGGAATAGCAACCTAGATACAGAATGACAGGAGTGAGGAATAGCATCCTAGATACAGAATGACACGAGTGAGGAATAGCAACCTAGATACAGAATGACAGGAGTGAGGAATAGCAACCTAGATACAGAATGACAGGAGTGAGGAATAGCATCCTAGATACAGAATGACAGGCGTGAGGAATAGCATCCTAGATACAGAATGACAGGAGTGAGGAATAGCAGCCTAGATACAGAATGACACGAGTGAGGAATAGCAACCTAGATACAGAATGACAGGAGTGAGGAATAGCAACCTAGATACAGAATGACAGGCGTGAGGAATAGCAACCTAGATACAGAATGACAGGAGTGAGGAATAGCAACCTAGATACAGAATGACAGGAGTGAGGAATAGCAGCCTAGATACAGAATGACAGGAGTGAGGAATAGCAACCTAGATACAGAATGACAGGAGTGAGGAATAGCATCCTAGATACAGAATGACAGGAGTGAGGAATAGCATCCTAGATACAGAATGACAGGAGTGAGGAATAGCATCCTAGATACAGAATGACAGGAGTGAGGAATAGCAACCTAGATACAGAATGACAGGAGTGAGGAATAGCAACCTAGATACAGAATGACAGGAGTGAGGAATAGCAGCCTAGATACAGAATGACAGGAGTGAGGAATAGCAACCTAGATACAGAATGACAGGAGTGAGGAATAGCAACCTAGATACAGAATGACAGGAGTGAGGAATAGCAACCTAGATACAGAATGACAGGAGTGAGGAATAGCAGCCTAGATACAGAAGGATAGGAGTGAGGAATAGCATCGTAAAGATACTGTTCCTGACCCACATGTCAGCGGCAGAAATGAATCATCCATGGTATTTCCTCTGTCTGGTACAATTCTAATATTGAATGAGAAATATTGTCCTGAAAAGGAAATCACGATGTCTGTAATAATTACTGTGCTCACCTGCATGTAGCTATTCCTCTGTTGGATAAATTCGGCCATAATGCTATAGCTATAGGCTGCGTGAAAGACAGCGTTAAAGTTGTCTTTTCAAAGCTGCCTCTCGTCTCTCTGCCACTAGCGGCTGGAAGTCAGTAACCGGCAATCCTGTCTACCATTGGTGGTTTTGTTGGTGGCCAGGTTTTTTGCAGCTACGTTGCCGAATTTGCTAGCAGCCAATTCTATTTGTGAAAGTGATGGGCTGATGGGCTGGGAAATTGTAAACTAGTAAAACTGGGAATTTCCCAAACAGTACCTACATATGATAGGGATATTCCTCTATGTCATCTCTGACGACTATGATGTCACTCTTGACATAGCCAAGAGGCAAAAATAAAAGGGTCCAAAAGGGGTGGTACATCAGTCAAAGAATCTTGTCTTTTTAAAGCAGCATCTTGTGACACAGGGGCATGCTGGGAATTGTTGATTCCATTAATGCATTCATTCATTCATTCATTCATTCATTCATTCATTCATTCATTCATGCATTCATTCATTCATGCATTCATTCATTCATTCATGCATTCATTCATTCATTCATTCATTCATTCATTCATTCATTCATGCATTCATTGAATTCATTCATTGATTCATTCATACTTCAGGGCAAGCAGCAAAAGCTCGTTTGGAAATTGTCTGCTTGCTGGCATCTGCAGTTCTACAAGATCTCAAAAACAAGGGAGATGATGCTTTCAATACCTTGTTTGACTGGCTTGGTGCCAAGTTTCTCAAGGAAATGGACAGGTACCAGTTGTTTTTTTTTCTTTTTCAGTTTAAATATATCTTCAGACATTCACATTTTGGGATTGTAAATATAAATTCAGGGATCGTACTTATCATTTCGTCTGAATTACCTACAGGTTTCTGGGAATCCCAGGCACAGCAGATTTTTTAGATAGGGATTCAGGGGTCAAAGGATTAACAGCAAAGGGCATTAACAAGTTTGTGTCTAATAATCCTGAGGATACTTGACCCTTCCCCCCCCCCCCTGCCCCCCACTTCCCCACAAAGTTACACTTGTCAAGCTCTAGAACGTTTCCTCTACTACATAGGGCTAGATTTAGGATTCCATTGCTCCCCCCCCCCCCCCCCCCCCCCCCCCCCCCCCCCCCCCCCCCCACTTTCCCCAATCAAGTTAGGAGTCTAAGAATCTCCCGTAGATCTCATTACACAATGTACAAAGTTGAGATTTGATGGGGAAAACAACCCTTCCGGGGGCCTTGTTTTATCAGAATAAATGTACCATCTGAAACATGCTTTACATAGAGACTGTCACTGCCATTACGTTTTTTTTAATAACCCTTAAATCTGATTTCTCTTTGATTATACATTCCAATATTTTTGTTAAAAATATTCTTTATGAAGTGTCTTATCAAAATTTTTTTTTTTAAATCTACACAACATATATGTAAGTCTGAACATTTCAGTGTCCCTCTAAGTTGATTTTACAGCATCTTTATATCACTGCAAATTATGGTGACATGTTTGAAATCATAGATGACTATTTTCAGCATTGCACAGATGGCGCTACTGCTACGTAATGCCATAGAACTGGGTCAGAAAATGAAGAATGAGATTATACTTGAGATAGATAACTTCATACTTGATGAGGTGAGTGGTTGTTTTACTCTCTTTATTGATGAAGTGTGTTTTAATGTGACAAGTTTGCACGGTGACAGGATACATCGTTGTCAAATACCATCAATGTATGCTATCAGTGTCAGACATGGACAGTCCTAGGAAAATATAAATGCAGGCCTGTGAGATGAGATGTGTAGTCTAGGAAATGCCGTGGGTGGGAGAAAACAACAAGAGTCACCAGCAAAAAACTAAGAGCAATAGGGGGCACAGTACCAGTCAATGATTTCACAGAACATCCAAGACTCAAATGGTTTGGTCATATGGTCAGAATGGAACAAAACCAGCCAGCAGCTAGAGCGCACTACATGAAAACAGGAGGCTACAGGTCAAGAAGCCAGCCAAGAAAGAGATAAGTGAAGGGAGAATAAGATATATGGAAACATAATATGACATTAACACAAGCTACGCAACCAGCAAAAGACAAGAAACTACATCCGACTTCTCTCTGTGATGCTTTGTGGCATAATCAGTATGAGAACAGAAGAAGAATTTGGGAGTTCTCTTGAAGTCAGAGTGAAACTGCCTGGGAGGCGAAGAGCCGACAGTTTGCTTACAAATAAGCGAGACCTGTCAAATGGACATGCAGGCAAAATAAAGTTCTGGAACATGACCAGAATCCAAAAGTGGATGAACAACCAGAACTGTCCATCAGACTTTACAGCCGCTGAACATGAAGAAGAAAAAGGCACCAACAGTCTGTCATACGGCTGTATACATCAGTATTATGCACAGTTATCATACACCATTGACATCCAGTCATCGCTGAATTATTCTACACAAGATATCACACAGCTATTATTGAATTATTCTACACAAGATATCACACAGCTATTATTGAATTATTCTACACAAGATATCACACAGCTATTATTGAATTATTCTACACAAGATATCACACAGCTATTATTAAATTATTCTACACAAGATATCACACAGCTATTATTGAATTATCATACAAAAGATATCACACAGCTATTATTGAATTATCATACAAAAGATATCACACAGCTATTATTGAATTATTCTACAAAAGATATCACACAGTTATTATTGAATTATTCTACAAAAGATATCACACAGCTATTATTGAATTATTATACAAAAGATATCACACAGCTATTATTGAATTATTCTACACAAGATATCACACAGCTATTATTGAATTAGTATACAAAAGATATCACACAGCTATTATTGAATTATTCTACACAAGATATCACACAGCTATTATTGAATTATTCTACACAAGATATCACACAGCTATTATTGAATTATTCTACACAAGATATCACACAGCTATTATTGAATTAGTATACAAAAGATATCACACAGCTATTATTGAATTATTCTACACAAGATATCACACAGCTATTATTGAATTATTCTACACAAGATATCACACAGCTATTATTGAATTATTCTACACAAGATATCACACAGCTATTATTGAAATATTATAGAAAAGATATCACACAGCTATTATTGAATTATTATACAAAAGATATCACACAGCTATTATTGAATTATTATACACAAGATATCACACAGCTTTTATTGAATTATTCTACACAAGATATCACACAGCTATTATTGAATTATTCTACACAAGATATCACACAGCTATTATTGAATTATTCTACAAAAGATATCACACAGCTATTATTGAATTATTATACAAAAGATATCACACAGCTATTATTGAATTATTCTACAAAAGATATCACACAGCTATTATTGAATTATTATACAAAAGATATCACACAGCTATTATTGAATTATTCTACACAAGATATCACACAGCTATTATTGAATTATTATACAAAAGATATCACACAGCTATTATTGAATTATTATACAAAAGATATCACACAGCTATTATTGAATTATTCTACACAAGATATCACACAGCTATTATTGAATTATTATACAAAAAATATTACACAGCTTTCATTGAATTATACATAGAAAACATACAGTTGTCACTGAGTTATAATACACATACGTCATGCAGTTATCATTGAGTTCTTATATGCAGAAAGCAGGATGAACATACAATTACTTCTACTGCTATCATTGGAACGGGAACTATACTACTGCTGAAAAAAAAGGGGGGGGGGGGGGGGAATGCCCACTTATAGGACTGTTGAAAAGTGCTATGATGTTGGATCTTAATTCAACTCAGCAGAACTAACTCAACAAAGCACATCACAACTCAGCAGAACTAACTCAACAAAGCACATCACAACTCAGCAGAACTAACTCAACAAAGCACAACACAGCTCAGCAGAACTAACTCAACAAAGCACATCACAACTCAGCAGAACTAACTCAACAAAGCACAACACAGCTCAGCAGAACTAACTCAACAAAGCACAACACAGCTCAGCAGAACTAACTCAACAAAGCACAACACAGCTCAGCAGAACTAACTCAACAAAGCACAACACAGCTCAGCAGAACTAACTCAACAAAGCACAACACAGCTCAGCAGAACTAACTCAACAAGGCACATCACAGCTCAGCAGAACTAACTCAACAAAGCACAACACAGCTCAGCAGAACTAACTCAACAAAGCACAACACAGCTCAGCAGAACTAACTCAACAAGGCACATCACAGCTCAGCAGAACTAACTCAACAAAGCACAACACAGCTCAGCAGAACTAACTCAACAAAGCACATCACAGCTCAGCAGAACTAACTCAACAAATCACAACACAGCTCAGCAGAACACAACACAGTTCACTCAACAGATCTCAGTCCAACTCAACATAATTCAGTTCAAGAGAATACAACACAAGTCAACACATATATCATACAGTAATTATTTAGTAACACAAACAATTATCATACATAATGATTACATGCAGATACTGCCAATGATGCATGCACACGCGCACGCACGCATGCATGCACGCACGCTCGCTCGCACGCACACACACACACAGAGAGAGAGAAAGAGAGAGAGAGAGAGAGAGAGAGAGAGAGAGAGAGAGAGAGAGAGAGATACACCTGTGTCTCTGATACTCTTGGCTTCCAGGATCTCAAAGTTCTGAAAACACCCAGCCCAGAGCCTCCGCCCACACCAGTAGAACAACCAATGATCGACCAGTTTACTGTGAACCAATTGGGACACTTGTACCATCAGGTAATTGTAGGGTTAAGAAAATCTTGTAATTGTGTTGCTATAGGAACGGGTAATGCCATTTTCTCTCTCTCTCTCTCTCTCTCTCTCTCTCTCTCTCTCTCTCTCTCTCTCTCTCTCTCTCTCTCTCTCTCTCTCTCTCTCTCTCTCTCTCTCTCTCTCTTTCTCTCTCTCTCTCTCTCTCTCTCTCTCTCTCTCTCTCTCTGTCTCTCTCTCTTTCTCTCTCTTTCTTTTTCTTCTATGAGTGTGAATATATGTATGTGTATGAATGTGTGATTTTGTATGTGTGTCTGTGTGTGTGTCTGTGTGTATAGGTATTTGTGCATGTACATATATGTACAAGAATGGGTCTATGTATGGGTATCTATGAGTGTGGGTGCATATATGTGAGCGAGAATGCATGTATGTATATGCGTGTATGTGTGTTTTTCAATGAATGAGTATGTGTGAGTGTGTATATATATATATGTGTTTGCATGTTTATGTGTATGCATATGTGTTCCAATGTACATGATTGCTTATTATGACCATATGTGTTTACATGAGCAAGTATATGCAGGTTTATGTATGAATATGCGGGTATGTTATGTGTGTATCTATGTATGTGTATTTATGTGTATGTGTATGTATATGTATATGTATGTGTATTATATATGTATGTGTATTTATGTGTATGTGTGTCTGTATGTGTTCTCTCTGTGGCTAAGTCGATGCGAATGCTTCGTAATACCGGGATGCCGTGATCAATCCTAGCTGCGGGCCATGCGCCTTGCGTTGGTTTTGACAGTGGTATCAAGAAAGCTGACCACCCAGAAAGCAATGGCAAACTCCTGGACATAAATTTGCCTAGAAAACCCACACAACAGCCAGGGGCTGTTGGGATTGGTTCTGCAACATCCTGTAAAGGATACGCAACTAGCCTATGTCTGTATGGATGTGGCTGTATGTATGTGTGTATTGTTTGTGTGTATGTATGTATATGTATGTATGTGTGTGTATGTATGTGTGTGTATGTATGTGTGTGTATGTATGTGTATGTGTGTGAATGCATGTAAATGTATGTGTGTATGCATGTATGTGTGTATATGTGTGTATATGTGTGTATGTATGTATGTATGTGTATGCATGTGTATGTATGTATGTATGTGTATGCATGTGTATGTATGTATGTATGTGTATGCATGTGTATGTATGTATGTATGTATGTATGTATGTATGTATGTGTGTGTGTGTGTGTGTATGCATGTGTGCATGCACGCATGCATGTGTGTGTGTGTGTCTGTGTGACTGTGTGTATGTCTGTCTGTGTGCCTGTGTGACTGTCGGTCTGTGTATGTATGTGCCAAATGAATAACTGTGCCTGTTCTGTCTGGTCTCACTCCAAACATCATTCAGTGTTAGGCTGTGGTGGTCTCCATGACAGCATGACTCATGCTATGAAGGTCATGGGTTTAAAACCCAGACTGTGTCTGTTAGTTTGTGAGTCAGTCAGTTTGTGAGTCTGTCAGTTTGTGAGTCTGTCAGTTTGTGAGTCTGTCAGTTTGTGAGTCTGTCAGTTTGTGAGTCTGCCATTCCAGTCGTATGGCAAGCTCAAGGAATCTCAGACAAAAATTCTGAGATTCCTGGAGCTTGCCATAGGAGCTACAGAGTTGATGCCTTGTGCTGTAGTCTTGGCATATAGCTAGTCCATGGGGAAGAGAAGTTGAACCAGTTAGGAGAAAGGTCAATTAAATGAAGGCGACCTTCACACCTTTGACCCTAAGCAGTGTGAGTTCTAGAGCCCACACCCTGGCAGTTCCACTTGTAGTGCTCAGTCTTTCCACTGGACATAGCAGGTCCACTTATGGTGGCTCAGTCTTTCCCCTTTACATGGCCTAATGAATAACTAATTGATCTGTGACTACTGTTTGTATGTGACCATTCTCAGATAACTGTGATGTGTGAAGTGTAGCAGACATGAAGTTATTCTCATCACCATGGATACCTGGTGACATCAGATCATGAAGGTCTTTGGTAGGCCTAGGAAATGATCAGATGTTATTTTTAATGTGAGACTGAACTGTATATGGCCCTTTATCCTCAATGTTGGTAACATCATGAATCTGTCCATGTATTGATATCTACTAAATGTCCATGTACTGATATCTACTAAATGTCCATGTATTCATATCTACTAAATGTCCATGTATTCATATCTACTAAATGTCCATGTATTCATATCTACTAAATGTCCATGAATTGATATCTACTAAATGTTCATGTATTGATATCTACTAAATGTCAATGTATTGATATCTACTAAATGTCCATGTATTCATATCTACTAAATGTCCATGTATTGATATCTACTAAATGTCCATGAATTGATATCTACTAAATGTCCATGTATTGATATCTACTAAATGTCCATGTATTGATATCTACTAAATGTCCATGTATTGATATCTACTAAATGTCCATGTAATCATATCTACTAAATGTCCATGTATTGATATCTACTAAATGTCCATGAATTGATATCTACTAAATGTCCATGTATTGATATCTACTAAATGTCCATGTATTGATATCTACTAAATGTCCATGTATTCATATCTACTAAATGTCCATGTATTCATATCTACTAAATGTCCATGTATTCATATCTACTAAATGTCCATGAATTGATATCTACTAAATGTCCATGTATTGATATCAACTAAATGTCAATGTATTGATATCTACTAAATGTCCATGTATTGATATCTACTAAATGTCCATGTATTGATATCTACTAAATGTCCATGTATTGATATCTACTAAATGTCCATGTAATCATATCTACTAAATGTCCATGTATTGATATCTACTAAATGTCCATGTAATCATATCTACTAAATGTCCATGTATTGATATCTACTAAATGTCCATGAATTGATATCTACTAAATGTCCATGTATTGATATCTACTAAATGTCCATGTAATCATATCTACTAAATGTCCATGTATTCATATCTACTAAATGTCCATGTATTGATATGTTCTAAATGTCCATGTCTGTCCCAGGGAGTTGTTTTTTGGCTAAATGATCCAAACAACTTTTTCTTATTGTCAGCACAGGGTCTTCTTCTTCTCCGTCCCCCTTGAAAGGGCAGTTGACATGCTGTGTTGTGGTTAACATCTAGGATTTGATATCCGCAACTTTCACCCAAATCATCAAGTTTCTACACATTCATAATTAGTCCCATTTTAAGACATGCTTGATGAGGAGCTGTCTGTCTGATTATCTGTCTGTCAGTTTGTTGAGTTAATTGACCCCAGGACCCACACAAGCAAGTACAAGGTCAACATTTTGTTGACTCTATTGTTTGATGGCAAAATTATGTAGTCTTTTGTATCTAAGTCAGCCAAAATATCAGCTCTTAACCTTTTAATTATTAGGCTACTGTATTTTTGTTTGTTTGTCCCTTAATAACTAAAAAAAAAACAATATTGTCACTAGCTCAAAGAAATTGCCCCTGCTGGAATAATTTCCAAAAAAGCATTTACAGAAATGTTTGCCAGTCTTGTGTCTGTGACCCATGGCACGGAGCAACTTCCTGAACTGTGGATGCAGCTGACCCCCTCACAGGTGAGAGTAGCAGAGAGAATAACCACTAACTGATTTCCTATTTTAATATCAACGCTGAATTAACAACTGCCACAATTAAGTTCCTGACTGGCTGATATGCCTCACAGGCCCTCCCCCCCACCCCCCCCTTTCCCTGTTTACTTTCCTAGCTCCTTATAGCAATGTCTTCTCAATATATACAGCATTATTTGTCTCCTGGCGTGTACATACCCACATGCTTGTACATACCCACATGCTTGTACATACCCACATGCTTGTACATACCCACATGCTTGTACATACCCACATGCTTGTACATACCCACATGCTTGTACATACCCACATGCGTGTACATACCCACATGCATGTACATACCCACATGCGTGTACATACCCACATGCTTGTACATACCCACATACTTGTACATACCCACATGCTTGTACATACCCACATGCTTGTACATACCCACATGCGTGTACATACCCACATGCTTGTACATACCCACATGCTTGTACATACCCACATGCTTGTACATACCCACATGCTTGTACATACCCACATGCTTGTACATACCCACATGCTTGTACATACCCACATGCTTGTACATACCCACATGCTTGTACATACCCACATGCTTGTACATACCTACATGCGTGTACATACCCACATGCTTGTACATACCCACATGCGTGTACATACCCACATGCGTGTACATACCCATATGGTTCACTAATTTATCATTTAATCTTTTTATTCTTATTTATTTTCTCATAATTATCCTCAGTAACAGATTTGAATTAATTTATCATGCAATAATATCACACCGATGTAAGTATGTATATGTGAGTCTCTTACCGCATAGAATCAACACAAACATCTCATACAAGGCATTTTCATTCGCTCTCAACACTTTCAGTGCCAGACATGGTCACTCACAAAAAACCAGAAAAGAAAACTAGTAGCCATGGAAATGAATTGTCTAAGAATTGCTACAGGAGTGACCAGAAAAGATCAAATAAGAAACTAGGTCATAAGAGAAAAAGTCGGCTCAAAATCAATTCTAAATGACATACAAAGACAGCAAATGAAATGGTTTGCCCACTTGGAGAGAATGCCTTGTGACGTCATATCATGTAAAGGATACACTAAAAGAGGCGGACTTAGAGCCCTATGTAGACAAAGAATTAAGAAATGATAACATCTGATAAACCTATGTTAGCACGATGTATTTATGCTCAAAAAACATAGAAGCATTTCACTCTTACATTCAAAGGCTTTTTTATTTATCTATCTGAGTATGAAGATAAGGCCCTGAGTACTTTGGTTTCATTCATGTATATTTCCTTGAATTTACTGTACATATTAATAATACACATACAAGATAGATCAGAGGTCTAAAGTTTACCAGCTTACAATAGAAGTCATGCATTTTCAATATGGCCAACATCTGCTGCCTGGCAAACATTTTGGCGGTAGCCAAACTCATCCCACACACAAATAAGCATCTCTTATGTAACTTAGTTCACTGCAGCTGCTTTATGGAAAACCATTTTCTAGGTTGACCAGGCCCCTAGTAGAGAACCTGTGTCTAGGTTGACCAGGTCCCAGTAGAGAACCTGTGTCTAGGTTGACCAGGCCCCTAGTAGAGAACCTGTGTCTAGGTTGACCAGGTCCCAGTAGAGAACCTGTGTCTAGGTTGACCAGGTCCCAGTAGAGAACCTGTGTCTAGGTTGACCAGGCCCCTAGTAGAGAACCAGTTTCTATGCTGACCAGGCCCCAGTAGAGAACCTGTGTATAGGTTGACCAGGCCCCCAATAGTGAACCTGTGACTAGGTTGACCAGGCCCTTAGTAGAAAACCAGTTTTTAGTTGACTGGGCCGCCAATAGAAAACCAGTTTCTAGGTTGACCAGGCCCTAAATAAAGAACCAATTTCTAGGTTGACCAGGCCCCCAGTAGAGAACCAGTTTCTAGGTTGACCAGGCTCCCAGTAGATAACCAGTTTCTATGTTGACCAGGCCCCTAGTAGTGAACCTGTGACTAGGTTGACCGTGCCCTTAGTAGAAAACCAGTTTTTGGTTGACCAGGCCGCCAATAGAAAACCAATTTCTAGGTTGACCAGGCCCCCAGTAGAGAACCAGTTTCTAGGTTGACCAAGCTCCCAGTAGATAACCAGTTTCTATGTTGACCAGGCCCCTAGTAGAGAACCTGTGTCCAGGTTGACCAGGCCCCTAGTAGAGAACCTGTGTCTAGGTTGACTAGGCCCCAGTAGACAACCAGTTTCTAGGTTGACCAGGCCCCCAGTAGATAACCAGTTTCTAGGTTGACCAGGCCCCAGTAGAGAACCAGTTTCTAGATTGACCAGGCCCCTAGTAGAGAACCAGTTTCTAGGTTGACCAGGCCCCTAGTAGAGAACCTGTGTCTAGGTTGACCAGGCCCCCAATTGAGAACCTGTGACTATGTTGGCCAGGTCCCAGTAGAGAACCAGTTTTTAGGTTGAACAGGCCCCCAATAGAGAACCAGTTACTAGGTTGACCAGACCCCAGTAGAGAACCAGTTTCTAGGTTGACAAGGCCTCTAGTAGAGAACCAGTTTCTATGTTGACCAGGCCCCTAGTCGACCAGTTTCTAGGTTGACCATGCACCCAGTAGAGAACCAGTTTCTTGGTTGACCTGGCCCTTAGTAGAGAACCTGTGACTAGGTTGACTAGGCTCTAGTAGACAACCAGTTTCTAGGTTGACCAGGCCCCCAGTAGATAACCAGTTTCTAGGTTGACCAGGCCCCTAGTAGAGAACCTGTGTCTAGGTTGACCAGGCCCCTAGTAGAGAACCTGTGTCTAGGTTGACTAGGCCCCAGTAGACAACCAGTTTCTAGGTTGACCAGGCCCCCAGTAGATAACTAGTTTCTAGGTTGACCAGGCCCCAGTAGAGAAACAGTTTCTAGGTTGACCTGGCCCCTAGTAGAGAACCAGTTTCTAGGTTGACCAGGCCCCTAGTAGAGAACCAGTTTCTAGGTTGACCAGGCCCCAATAGAGAACCAGTTTCTAGGTTGACCAGGCCCCTAGTAGAGAACCAGTTTCTAGGTTGACCAGGCCCCTAGTAGAGAACCATGACCAGGCCCCTAGTAGAGAACCTGTGACTAGGTTGACCAGGCCCACAATAAAGAACCAGTTTCTAGGTTGACCAGGCCTCAGTAGAGAACCAGTTTCTAGGTTGACCAGGCCCTAAATAAAGAACCAGTTTCTAGGTTGACCAGGCCCCAGTAGAGAACCTGTGTCTAGGTTGATCAGGCTTCCAATAGAGAACCAGTTTCTAGGTTGACCAGGCCCCAGTAGAGAACCAGTTTCTAGGTTTACCAGGTTCCCAATAAAGAACCAGTTTCTAGTTTACCAGGCCCCAGTAAACAGTTTATTTTTGCCTTGCCATTGTGTCTAATTTTTTTATTTTATCTGTATTTACTTGGTAATTAAAATTACTGCCTAAGTAACTTTATGTAACTAAATAAAAAATGTATCATTTTCAAAACCATGATTTGTTATCTGAGTATAACTGAGGATAGATGTTATAGTTATAAATCTGGCTGGCAGAGAAATGATTTTCAATGGTTTGGTTCTACATACTGTAGAATTCACTTTCACAGAATAACCTTGTAATCTAATGTTACATAACACGAAATTTTTTTTAACAATTTGAGTTTATTGTTTGTAACTTTTTGTTTTTGTTTCCACAGATTGAGATGTTAGGTAACTTGCTGTCACCAGAACTGGATTACATTGACTGGCGTCGCTTCCTGGTAGCGTTATGTTATCCTGTGCCTGCTCCAACACAAGAAGAATTGTTGCACTACTTGTCCCAGTTCAGAAAGATGGACCAAAAACAAACAGGATCAGTAACCAGAGAGCAATTCAACTGGGTAATGTCCCTTAGTATTTGTTGAGCTCATTTGAATCTAAAGATTTGAAAAAGGAAAATAGGCTCCTCTCAAACTCTGGCCAATATTTGGCTGTCCTGGTGAATTCACTTTCACCATTGATTGTATTGGAAAATAAGAATTACTTTCAAACACAAGGATGCTGGAGCTGTCGTTTGTTCTCCTTATAACAGTCGCAACGATTATTCTTCTGTTGTAAAAAGACTAAATAGCAGCAATCATTATTAGGCTTTTATTTGTAGGATGTTTTCTTCAGTAACAAACAATACAGACAACTTCTAAAAGAATAAACAGACAACTTCTGTAACTGATATACAAATTCTAGAAATACATATAGACAACTTTTATAACTATAGAAATAAATCTTCTAGAAGTACTTACAGACAAATTATATAACTATAAATATACAACTTCTAGAAGTACATAGAGACAACTTCTATAATAACAGATATACAACTTCTAGGACTACATACAGACAACTTCTATAACTATAGAAATACAACTTCTAGAAGTACATACAGACTAATTCTAAAGTATAAACAGACGACTTCTAGAAATATAATCTAAAACATGTTATTACAAAACATACACTTTGATATTTGTGTAGCAAGGCAAGCACACCCATGGAGTGACTACAGTCTCTTGGTGAGACCTTGACATTGCTCTGTCTGCTTAGACAGAGTACAACAACATGAGGAGATTCTTGACAACCTTTTGTCACAGCAGTGAAGGGTATCAGCACGTAAACTGATACGTGTTGTTGGCAGTGAAGGGTATCGGCATGTAAACTGATACGTGTTGTTGGCAGTGAAGGGTATCGGCATGTAAACTGATACGTGTTGTTGGCAGTGAAGGGTATCAGCACGTAAACTGATACGTGTTGTTGGCAGTGAAGGGTATCGGCATGTAAACTGATACGTGTTGTTGGCAGTGAAGGGTATCGGCACGTAAACTGATACGTGTTGTTGGCAGTGAAGGGTATCGGCATGTAAACTGATACGTGTTGTTGGCAGTGAAGGGTATCGGCATGTAAACTGATACGTGTTGTTGGCAGTGAAGGGTATCGGCATGTAAACTGATACGTGTTGTTGGAAGTGAAGGGTATCGGCACGTAAACTGATACGTGTTGTTGGCAGTGAAGGGTATCGGCAGGTAAACTGATACGTGTTGTTGGCAGTGAAGGGTATCGGCATGTAAACTGATACGTGTTGTTGGAAGTGAAGGGTATCGGCACGTAAACTGATACGTGTTGTTGGCAGTGAAGGGTATCGGCATGTAAACTGATACGTGTTGTTGGCAGTGAAGGGTATCGGCATGTAAACTGATACGTGTTGTTGGCAGTGAAGGGTATCGGCATGTAAACTGATACGTGTTGTTGGCAGTGAAGGGTATCGGCATGTAAACTGATACGTGTTGTTGGCAGTGAAGGGTATCGGCACGTAAACTGATACGTGTTGTTGGCAGTGAAGGGTATCGGCATGTAAACTGATACGTGTTGTTGGCAGTGAAGGGTATCGGCACGTAAACTGATACGTGTTGTTGGCAGCGAAGGGTATCGGCATGTAAACTGATACGTGTTGTTGGCAGTGAAGGGTATCGGCATGTAAACTGATACGTGTTGTTGGCAGTGAAGGTATCGGCACATTAACTGATACGTGTTGTTGGCAGCGAAGGGTATCGGCATGTAAACTGATACGTGTTGTTGGCAGTGAAGGGTATCGGCATGTAAACTGATACGTGTTGTTGGCAGTGAAGGGTATCGGCACATTAACTGATACATGTTGTTGGCAGTGAAGGGTATCGGCACGTAAACTGATACGTGTTGTTGGCAGTGAAGGGTATCGGCATGTAAACTGATACGTGTTGTTGGCAGTGAAGGGTATCGGCATGTAAACTGATACGTGTTGTTGGCAGTGAAGAGTATCGGCATGTAAACTGATACGTGTTGTTGGCAGTGAAGGGTATCGGCATGTAAACTGATACGTGTTGTTGGCAGTGAAGGGTATCGGCACGTAAACTGATACGTGTTGTTGGCAGTGAAGGGTATCGGCATGTAAACTGATACGTGTTGTTGGCAGTGAAGGGTATCGGCATGTAAACTGATACGTGTTGTTGGCAGTGAAGGGTATCGGCACGTAAACTGATACGTGTTGTTGGCAGTGAAGGGTATCGGCATGTAAAACTGATACGTGTTGTTGGCAGTGAAGGGTATCGGCATGTAAAACTGATACGTGTTGTTGGCAGTGAAGGGTATCGGCATGTAAACTGATACGTGTTGTTGGCAGTGAAGGGTATCGGCATGTAAACTGATACGTGTTGTTGGCAGTGAAGGGTATCGGCACGTAAACTGATACGTGTTGTTGGCAGTGAAGGGTATCGGCATGTAAACTGATACGTGTTGTTGGCAGTGAAGGGTATCGGCACGTAAACTGATACGTGTTGTTGGCAGTGAAGGGTATCGGCACATTAACTGATACATGTTGTTGAAGACTGTTGGTTGTCGAGAGCCATGATTGCCCACAGCGTTCAGCAAGGCACTTGATGATAGTAAAGTTGACTTGCTAACTGTCTTTGTGTAAATGATCCCCCATAGGTTTGCTGTCTCAATTTTATTTCTTATTTCTGAAGTAATCCATTCATGGGGTTTTCACACATCATTCATGCCCCACCAGAAGCCGTCGTTGTGGCCAAATGCTGGCCTGTGGATCTAAAGATCGCACATTCGAATCTGAACACAGCCAGATTTGTTTTTTTTCTTTTCACAAATGACCTTGACCCCTGGTCGACCCAGTGTTATATGGGTGCCAGGTAAAGTCCTGGGAAGTAAAGGCGGCTTGCATGATATTGATCACATCACTCACAGAGTGTTGATTAGTCTGTAAAAAATAGGCCTAGCCCTTTATGCAAATACACCTGAAGGCATGGTAAAAGTGTTTTTTATTTGTTACTTTTATTCTAACCCCACCAACCAATTTTCGCAATCTGCTGTCTGCACTAACCAATCTTTGCAATCTGCTGTCAGCACCAACCAATCTTTGCAATCTGCTATCAGCACCAACCAATCTTTGCAATCTGCTGTCAGCACTAACCAATCTTTGCAGTCTGCTGTCAGCACTAACAAATCTTTGCAGTCTGCTATCAGCACCAACCAATCTTTGCAATCTGCTGTCAGCACTAACCAATCTTTGCAATCTACTGTCAGCACCAACCAATCTTTGCAATCTGCTGTCAGCACTAACCAATCTTTGCAATCTGCTGACAGCACCAACCAATTTTGGCAATCTGCTGTCAGCACTAACCAATCTTTGCAATCTGCTGTCAGCACCAACCAATTTTCACAATCTGCTGTCGGCACTAACCAGTCTTTGCAATCTGCTATCTGCACTAACCAATCTTTGCAATCTGCTGTCAGCACCAACCAATTTTGGCAATCTGCTGTCAGCACCAGCCAATTTTGGCAATCTGCTGTCTGCACTAACCAATCTTTGCAATCTGCTGTCTGCACTAACCAATCTTTGCAATCTGCTGTCTGCACTAACCAATCTTTGCAATCTGCTGTCTGCACTAACCAATCTTTGCAATCTGCTGTCTGCACTAACCAATCTTTGCAGTCTGCTGTCAGCACCAACCAATCTTTGCAGTCTGCTGTCATCACCAACCAATTTTTGCAATCTGCTGTCTGCACTAACCAATCTTTGCAATTTGCTGTCTGCACTAACCAATCTTTGCAATCTGCTGTCAGCGCCAACCAATTTTTGCAGTCTGCTGTCAGCGCCAACCAATTTTTGCAATCTGCTGTCGGCACTAACCAATCTTTGCAATCTGCTGTCAGCACTAACCAATCTTTGCAATCTGCTGTCAGCGCCAACCAATCTTTGCAATCTGCTGTCAGCACCAACCAATCTTTGCAATCTGCTGTCAGCACTAACGAATCTTTGCAATCTGCTGTCAGCACTAACCAACCTTTGCAGTCTGCTATCAACACTAACCAATCTTTGTAATCTGCTATCAGCACCAACCAATCTTTGTAATCTGCTATCAGCACCAACCAATCTATGTAATCTATACAATCTGCTATCAGCGCCAACCAATCTATGTAATCTATACAATCTGCTATCATCAACAACCAGTCTATGCAGCACCAACCAATTTATGTAATCTATACAATCTGCAATCAGCGCCAACCAATTTATGTAATCTATACAATCTGCTATCAGCACCAACTAATTGATGAAATCTATACAATCTGCTATCAGCACCAACCAATCGATGAAATCTATACAATCTGCTATCAGCGCCAACCAATCTTTACAATCTGCTACCAGCACCAACCAATCTATGTAATCTATACAATCTGCTATCAGTAATCTGTAATGTATTCTATATTCGCCTCCTACCCATAATGACTATGATCAATTAAAGGGACATAACAAGGATCAGGGCCTGTTTTCAGTTTGTAACATGTAGTCAGCCTGTATTCAGACTGTTACTTCTGAACTGTAACTGCTGAGGAATGTTACAATGTGCAGTAATGACTCAGTACCTGAGGAGCAGAGCAAGCAATATTAAACCGTTCTAAAGAAACCACCATCTGTGACAAACAGGTTTAGGAAAATAGGTCATATTCTCATGTAGAAATCTCATTATTATTACCATATTTCTTTACATGATCACTTGTTTGAGCTGATTGATAATGTGTACTTATATTATTGTTTCCCGTCCTTTTTAGGATGAAATTTTTCGTTATTTGAAGCCCCACCCTGGCTCTTGCCAGGGGCCGCAATAAAGCCAGGCCATAAATATGGCTAATTGGCTAAACGCGGTTTCTTGGACCTCTCCACGGTGATCCTCATCCACATGGTAGCACATTGTGTCATCGGTTGTTTATCGATTGTGTGATGTCCTGGTGGGTAGAAAGTCAGTCAGTCAGTCATTAATAATATTACAGCAAACAATCACTGAAAATCAGGAAATCACAGTTCATCTTAAGTATTTTCTTAATGTCATTGTCTGTATCTTTTTTTTCTTTCTGAGTTATGATATATTTATTGTCATGTTAGATTCTACAGGCTGAAGGCAAGGGTAGGCAATCTCTGGTCATGTTAGATTCTACAGGCTGAAGGCAAGGGTAGGCAATCTCTGGTCATGTAAGATTCTACAGGCTGAAGGCAAGGGAGAGTAGACAATCTCTGGTCATGTTAGATTCTACAGGCTGAAGGCAAAGGTAGACAATCTCTGGTCATGTTAGATTCCACAGGCTGAAGACAAAGGTAGACAATCTCTGGTCATGTAAGATTCCACAGGCTGAAGGCAAAGGTAGACAATCTCTGGTCATGTTAGATTCTACAGGCTGAAGGCAAGGGAGAGTAGACAATCTCTGGTCATGTTAGATTCTACAGGCTGAAGGCAAGGGTAGACAATCTCTGGTCCTGTTATATTCTACAGGCTGAAGGCAAGGGTAGGCAATCTCTGGTCATGTTAGATTCTACAGGCTGAAGGCAAGGGTAGACAATCTCTGGTCATGTTAGATTCTACAGGCTGAAGGCAAGGGTAGGCAATCTCTGGTCATGTTAGATTGTACAGGCTGAAGGCAAGGGAGGGTAGACAATCTCTGGTCACTTTTAGATTGTACAGGCTGAAGGCAAGGGAGGGTAGACAATCTCTGATCTTGTTAGACTCCACATGCTAAAGGCAAGGGTAGACAATCTCTGGTCATGTTAGATTCTACAGGCTGAAGGCAAAGGACAATCTCTGGTCATGTTAGATTGTACAGGCTGAAGGCAAAGGTAGACAATCTCTGGTCATGTTAGATTCTACAGGCTGAAGGCAAAGGTAGACAATCTCTGGTCATGTAAGATTCTACAGGCTGAAGGCAAGGGAGAGTAGACAATCTCTGGTCATGTAAGATTCTACAGGCTGAAGGCAAGGGTAGACAATCTCTGGTCATGTAAGATTCTACAGGCTGAAGGCAAGGGAGAGTAGACAATCTCTGGTCATGTAAGATTCTACAGGCTGAAGGCAAGGGAGAGTAGACAATCTCTGGTCATGTAAGATTCTACAGGCTGAAGGCAAAGGTAGACAATCTCTGGTCATGTTAGATTCTACAGGCTGAAGGCAAGGGTAGACAATCTCTGGTCATGTTAGATTCTACAGGCTGAAGGCAAAGGTAGACAATCTCTGGTCATGTTAGATTCTACAGGCTGAAGGCAAGGGAGAGTAGACAATCTCTGGTCATGTTAGATTCTACAGGCTGAAGGCAAGGGAGAGTAGACAATCTCTGGTCATGTTAGATTCTACAGGCTGAAGGCAAGGGTAGGCAATCTCTGGTCATGTTAGATTCTACAGGCTGAAGGCAAGGGTAGACAATCTCTGGTCATGTTAGATTCTACAGGCTGAAGGCAAGGGTAGACAATCTCTGGTCATGTTAGATTCTACAGGCTGAAGGCAAGGGTAGGCAATCTCTGGTCATGTTAGATTCTACAGGCTGAAGGCAAGGGTAGGCAATCTCTGGTCATGTTAGATTCTACAGGCTGAAGGCAAGGGTAGGCAATCTCTGGTCATGTTAGATTCTACAGGCTGAAGGCAAGGGTAGGCAATCTCTGGTCATGTTAGATTGTACAGGCTGAAGGCAAGGGAGGGTAGACAATCTCTGGTCACTTTTAGATTGTACAGGCTGAAGGCAAAGGACAATCTCTGGTCATGTTAGATTCTACAGGCTGAAGGCAAGGGAGGGTAGACAATCTCTGATCTTGTTAGATTCTACAGGCTGAAGGCAAAGGACAATCTCTGGTCATGTTAGATTGTACAGGCTGAAGGCAAAGGTAGACAATCTCTGGTCATGTAAGATTCTACAGGCTGAAGGCAAGGGTAGACAATCTCTGGTCATGTAAGATTCTACAGGCTGAAGGCAAGGGAGAGTAGACAATCTCTGGTCATGTAAGATTCTACAGGCTGAAGGCAAGGGAGAGTAGACAACCTCTGGTCATGTAAGATTCTACAGGCTGAAGGCAAAGGTAGACAATCTCTGGTCATGTTAGATTCTACAGGCTGAAGGCAAAGGTAGACAACCTCTGGTCATGTTAGATTCTACAGGCTGAAGGCAAAGGTAGACAATCTCTGGTCATGTAAGATTCTACAGGCTTAAGGCAAAGGTAGACAATCTCTGGTCATGTTAGATTCTACAGGCTGAAGGCAAAGGTAGACAATCTCTGGTCATGTTAGATTCTACAGGCTGAAGGCAAAGGTAGACAATCTCTGGTCATGTAAGATTCTACAGGCTGAAGGCAAGGGAGAGTAGACAATCTCTGGTCATGTAAGATTCTACAGGCTGAAGGCAAGGGTAGACAATCTCTGGTCATGTTAGATTGTACAGGCTGAAGGCAAGGGTAAACAATCTCTGGTCATGTAAGATTCTACAGGCTGAAGGCAAAGGTAGACAATCTCTGGTCATGTGAGATTCCACAGGCTGAAGGCAAGGGTAAACAATCTCTGGTCATGTAAGATTCTACAGGCTGAAGGCAAGGGTAAACAATCTCTGGTCATGTAAGATTCTACAGGCTGAAGGCAAAGGTAGACAATCTCTGGCAACACTGCTGTATTTGAGTTGCCAGTTATGACTGTTCAGGCCAGTATAGACTTGACATGTGAAATGAAGCATTTACAAAAGTGTAACCAGTTATTCTGAACTGTGTCCTCTGTTATGATGTCACATCTAGGTCCCACTGTGGTTCAGCAAGAAGCCACACATAGAAGAATCCTATGATCGTCCAACAAACTTAAAGAAGCTCCTGTTTGAAGTGTTTGCTGACCATTCCGGCCTCATACCTCTGCTGGATTATGTAGACTTTGTAAGTCTGTGCCTGCCACAGAGTCACATTTCAGTTGATGTAACATTTATATTATTATTATAATATCACAGTATACTTTTCTACACAAATAGATTCATGTTTTGTTGTTGTAATTGTGCATTTGTCTGGATAATATATATTACATCACTGTTACTAAAGCTTTACGGAATAATATTATGGAAAGTCAAATATTGTTGTCACACAGTGGCTGTCTGTTTGTTTACAGACACAAATGTGATCATAGTTTGTCATTCTTAGTTATACCAAGTACTGGCTTATTTATCATTTCACAGTTCAGTGAGTCTTTGTATCTTCTTGTTATTGTTCTTATTTACGTAAACTCTGTCAGAAAGTTCCGGTTGTTTATCCACTTCTAGACTTCAGTCTTGTTCCAGAGCCTAAGTTTTGTCCCTTTTACAGATCTGGCTTGTTTGTGTGCAGACTGTTGGTTACTTGCCTTTCAGACAGATGCAGGCCATCTTCAAAGTAAAAATCCCTAATTAGTTAACTCTTAGGACATGCTTGTAATAATGGGTCAGTGGGTCCATCCCCTCACCCCCTCCCTCCCCCCACCCCAGGATCTTTGTATCTTCTTCTGCATTCACCCTTAAAAGGGTGGTTACAAAGTCAAGTCTCGCGATGTGAACCAGCGTCACTGCACACGGCTATAAACCATGTGAACCAGCATCACTGCACACGGTTATAAACCATGTAAACCAGCGTCACTGCACACGGTTATAAACCATGTGAACCAGCATCACTGCACACGGTTATAAACCATGTGAACCAGCATCACTGCACACGGTTATAAACCATGTGAACCAGCATCACTGCACACGGTTATAAACCATGTGAACCAGCATCACTGCATACGGTTATAAACCAAGTGAACCAGCATCACTGCACACGGTTATAAACCAAGTGAACCAGCATCACTGCACACGGTTATAAACCATGTGGACCAGCATCACTGCATACGGTTATAAACCAAGTGAACCAGCATCACTGCACACGGTTATAAACCAAGTGAACCAGCATCACTGCACACGGTTATAAACCAAGTGAACCAGAATCACTGCACACGGTTATAAATCATATGTGGTCTACCACCAGTACGGCAGCTGATAAGAAACTGCCCACCTGTGTTGCCGTCTGCACGCAACTCCGTAGCTACAGCGACATTCTTCCATTTAAACCACAGTGTTAACTCTGGTACCCATTATCTAGAGGCTGGGTGAACCCTGGGAACCGCCCGGTTTCGAACACCGTCCGTGGGCTGCAGCGAGTCGCAGCTGGATTGGAAAGCGAGTCTCCTATCAACTGCGCTGATGTGCCCTCTAAAAAAAAAGCGGTTGGCATGTTCTGTTGTGGTTTATAGCAAGGTAGTGATATCTGTGTCTTCTGACCCAGCACATTCAGCAAACACTTAATGAGCCATCAACAGGCTTGTCTGTGGAGGGGGGGAGGGGCTGGATCTATTTCTTCTTCTTCCGCAAACAGGGCCCTGGAATCTACAAAGTGAATCTTGTATCTAAAGCAGCATTGATCTAACAGGTAGTCTAGGAATTCATAGCTGTTTTTGTGTGTCTGTGGACAGTTCCTGCTTCTTCTTCTACCATTTATTCCCTTGTGGAGCATAGGCTGTCAACCAATTCATGCCAAGTTCCTTCTACCCTTTGCTATCGCAAGCAGCTCACCCTGTGTCCTCTCCATCTTTTCAACTTCACTTTCCAGCTCCCTGTTCCTTATGTTTTTTGGGGGCCTAGCTTTATTTCAATGCTACTGTGTGTTTCAGTGCAAAGACATTCTAGTTACATTGTTATCAGGTCTTCTCAAAATGTGTCCTATCCAACACCAGCATTTTGTCCTCACCTCTTGGTACAATGCAACTTGTTTAGTTCAGTCTCTGCTAAGTGACTTGTAAAAAAAAAGAGGCATGTAATGGGAATGAATTTTGTTTCATCAGACACCTGATGTCTTGAAAGAAATTGACTCAGAACTAATTACCATAACACACACTGACAATCCATATTCATGAACACATTGTGAGCATGGAAAACTGAAATACTCTTGGACAGCAGGAAAGTTAGCAGGCAACAAAGGCAGACAGAGAGACCTAGAGAGATCATGTTGGACAGCAGAAAAGTTAGCAAGCAATAAAGGCAGACAGAGACCTAGAGAGATCATGTTGGACAGCAGGAAAGTTAGCAGGCGATGACAGCAGGAAAGTTAGCAGGCAACAAAGGCAGACAGATACGTAGATAGATCATGTTTGACAGTCTGGCAGTGTGGTATGGAAAAGCATCTGTGTCAGAAACATGGCAAATAAAACTGTGGGCAGACGTATCTACCTACAAAGAGAACATAAAATATAGATTGCATAATGTATTGCCTGGCATATCTTGCCATATATTAACAGGTGCAGACTGCAAAAGCAGTTAAATAAAATGAAGCAGACAAATGGAATATTTTACAACTGATGTACTACTCTCAAAGCTAAACAGGTTTTACCTGGTTGCAGGTTCACTACCATGTCATTTTGTTTACACAAATTTATTTAATTGTTATGGTATTATGCACCAGATGAGATACAGCCAAATATGCCAGACAGTAAATTGTACAATCTGCTGTTTGTGTCTTCTTTGTTCAAATTTACAACACAGAAATATTGCTTTGTTATTTACTATAATAAAGGTTCACACTAATGACTGACTACCATGTTCTATTCTCCCCCCCCCCCCCCACACACACACACAAAAACCTACAAATAATCATGTGTGCTTTCTGCAGTTCATGAAATCAAATTTAATTGTATTTACTATTGTTGTTGTTGTTGCCATCTACAGCTGATGTACTTCTCTGTGGCAGCCAACTATCACGAAGGCTTTCTGCGAGCACTGAGTGTGGCCATGGGCAAACACATGCCTAGATTAGACAAACCAGAACTTCCTGCAACTGTACAACTGAAGACATCACAGACCAGGTGAGTTGTCTCTTGGTTTGTTGCAGGTTTTACATCAGCCTCACAGAGCTACAGTGGAAGCACTAGTAAGAACATATGCCCTGATGGAAGCACCACTAAGAACATATGCCCTGATGGAAGCACCACTAAGAACATATGCCCTGATGGAAGCACCACTAAGAACATATGCCCTGATGGAAGCACCACTAAGAACATGTGCCCTGATGGAAGCACCACTAAGAACATATGCCCTGATGGAAGCACTAGTCAGAACATATGCCCTGATAGAAGCACCACTAAGAACATGTGCCCTGATGGAAGCACCACTAAGAACATGTGCCCTGATGGAAGCACCACTAAGAACATATGCCCTGATGGAAGCACCACTAAGAACATATGCCCTGATGGAAGCACCACTAAGAACATATGCCCTGATGGAAGCACCACTATGAACATGTGCCCTGATGGAAGCACAACTAAGAACATATGCCCTGATGGAAGCACTAGTCAGAACATATGCCCTGATGGAAGCACCACTAAGAACATATGCCCTGATGGAAGCACCACTAAGAACATATGCCCTGATGGAAGCACCACTAAGAACATATGCCCTGATGGAAGCACTAGTAAGAACATATGCCCTGATGGGAGCACCACTAAGAACATATGCCCTGATGGAAGCACCACTAAGAACATATGCCCTGATGGAAGCACCACTAAGAACATGTGCCCTGATGGAAGCACTAGTCAGAACATATGCCCTGATAGAAGCACCACTAAGAACATATGCCCTGATGGAAGCACCACTAAGAACATATGCCCTGATGGAAGCACAACTAAGAACATATGCCCTGATGGAAGCACCACTAAGAACATGTGCCCTGATGGAAGCACTAGTCAGAACATATGCCCTGATGGAAGCACCACTAAGAACATGTGCCCTGATGGAAGCACCACTAAGAACATATGCCCTGATGGAAGCACCACTAAGAACATATGCCCTGATGGAAGCACCACTAAGAACATATGCCCTGATGGAAGCACCACTAAGAACAAATGCCCTAATGGAATTCTGAGTGTGTCTGCAATTCTCTGTTCTTCCATTCTGGAGCCCACTAGTGTCAGAACAATGGTTGCTCCATTAAATGGTGTCTAGGTGTCCAAGGGAATGGGGCGCATTTTGGATGATGGCCTAGTATAGCGTCTTTCGACCCATTTCATGTTCCATATTACACTGGTTTAAGATTTATTTCGTTATATCTCTCTCTCCCCCTCTCTCTCTCTCTCATCACAGAGATAACAGTGGGCAATGAGAACGAGTCAGGGCTGCCAATAGTATTTTTTATCTAAACCCAAGCTAAGCTTACCAGAAAACCCAGGCAATACATAAGCAACACAGAAAAAACCCAAGATTTATAAAAAATTACACATTGTATAGTTACAAAACGAAACATTGACCCACTTTATGTCAGGATAAAACTTTTAAAAAAAACACAAGATTCCAAGATTCCAAAATCTGAACCCAAGGTGTCAACAACAAAAACCCACATTTTAAGGGCAAACCCAAGTATTGGCAGTCCTGAGAACCACTTGTAAGTAGCCTTTTGCTCCCAGAGAATTGGTTGGCCCGGATGCCTATAGTTCAGGAGTCAAGCTGCTAGCAGTTTCATTTCTCTACTTTTCCCTAATATTCCCATCTATTTTGAATATATTCAGTCCTGTGGTTGTGCCACATGTTTTTGTTTTTATAGTGTGACACTTGGGGGATGTCTCTCGGTGAGCCAGCGTTCAGGGTGGTGATAAATCTCTTAACTGGAACACACCCACTGACCTCTTCGTCCGTGGTTCATGTGTCTGTATCATCGGGGGCGCATTTCTGCTTAACATATGTTTGGGGATGCTTCAAAAACAACATCTATATGCTAATGTCTTCAGTACAGGTGTGTTGTTATGTCAGGATGTGTCAAGGTGTGTCAAGTTGTGTCAAGGTGTGTCAAGGTGTGTCAAGTTGTGTCAAGGTGTGTCAAGTTGTGTTAAGGTGTGTCAAGTTGTGTCAAGGTGTGTCAAGTTGTGTCTGTAGATCTAATTATGCATCATGACGTACCGAATATCCGTTGCTGTTTTCCTCCTAGGATCCTTGCTTTCGTCAACAAGCCAATAACTTGGCTTGAGTCCTGCAGCTTCTTCTCCTGACATATTTACACGATCAAAGTTAGTTGTGTATCCTTTACAGGAAATTGCAGAACCGACCCCACCATTTTTTAGCTGTTGTGGTTTTTCAAGGCAAATTTACGTCCAGTAGTTTGCCATTGCTTTTATGGACGGTCAACTTCTCGATATCACTGCCGAAACTAACGCAAGGCCGGCAGTGGGATCGAACCAGGCACCCCGGCATTATGAAGAACATTTGCAACACAGACGCCCACATATACACAATCATACACACTCACAAATACACAAGGGGGCTGCATGGCGTCCGCCTCAGGTGCTAGAAGTCCCGAGTTCAAGCTCCAGTGAAGGCTGGAATTTTTTCACCTGGACTTTTAGTAATTTCCCCTGGTCTCTGGGTAGTAAGACTGGATGCCTGTGTGTATTGTTGCGCATATGCAAAATCCCTTGGCAGTTGGAAAACAAAAAGACTAGCCTTACAGCACCGCCCGGGCAAAGTTTGGAGTTAAAAATCTTACCAAAGTATTTCAGGGTCCTCGCTGGTGCTACAGAGCTCATGCACTGCGCTGAGATTCTTCGGACTCAGGCTTGAGTCAGAAGTAGAACGGATCTCTTAGGGTTACCTCTTGTAATATGATGTTTATCCGTCATCTAAACCTAAAGCAAATCTACACACACATATACAGGCCTGCTCGTACAGACACATACACACTTATATACATACATACATACATGCAAGCAGGCAAACACATACACACTCATATACATACATACATGCATGCATGCAGGCAGACACACACACACTCATATACATAAATACATACATGCAAGCAGGCAAACACATACACACTCATATACATACATACATGCATGCAAGCAGGCAGACACACACACACTCATACACATACATACATGCATGCAAGCAGGCAGACACACACACACTCATATGCATACATACATACATGCAAGCAGGCAGACACACACACACTCATACACATACATACATGCATGCAAGCAGGCAGACACACACACACTCATACACATACATACATGCATGCAAGCAGGCAGACACACACACAAAAGAAGTTGCAGCATTGTTAAATATTGAGAAGACCACAACAGTGAGTACAGATCCATTCCTGATGTACAAAATATCGGGAAGACGACACCAGTAAGTGCAGATACATTCCTGATGTACAAAATATTCATTACATTTTGCTATCCACTGCCAGCATTGTAGAGGGTGCTGAAACTAAAGAGGAAGGCAAGACAACTGCTGAACCACCAATGTCAGACGAGGTAATCCCTCCTGAAGCTGAGGATGTTGAAGTTTCTGTGGAGGCTTTGTACAAGGTGAGCTTATGTTAATCTGTGCACAGACGAGTACAGGGTGGACATGTTGTACATGCAGCACAGCCATGTTTTGTTTAAGTAGAATAGATCAGGCCACAAGGGGGCGCTTCAGTGGCTAGTGTACCCAGCTACCTGGCAAGTCTATTCTTTTTGATTCCTGGCCAGAACAACATGTTTGTGGGTTTGCTCGACAGCATTCATGCATGTGTGAGTTGTGTGTGCCCATCACTGTGGACCATAGGACATTCTACCAAAACAAATGAGTTGTGTGTGCCCATCACTGTGGACCGTGGGACATTCTACCAGAACAAGTGAGTTGTGTGTGTCCATCAGTGCAGACTGTAGGACATTCTACCAGAACAAGTGAGTTGTGTGTGTCCATCAGTGCAGACTGTAGGACATTCTACCAGAACAAGTGAGTTGTGTGTGTCCATCAGTGCAGACTGTAGGACATTCTACCAGAACAAGTGAGTTGTGTGTGTCCATCAGTGCAGACTGTAGGACATTCTACCAGAACAAGTGAGTTGTGTGTGTCAAACACTGTGGACCATAGGACATTCTACCAAAACAAGTGAGTTGTGTGTCCATCAGTGCAGACTGTAGGACATTCTACCAGAACAAGTGAGTTGTGTGTGTCCATCAGTGCAGACTGTAGGACATTCTACCAGAACAAGTGAGTTGTGTGTGTCCATCAGTGCAGACTGTAGGACATTCTACCAGAACAAGTGAGTTGTGTGTGCCCATCACTGTGGACCATAGGACATTCTACCAAAACAAGTGAGTTGTGTGTCCATCAGTGCAGACTGTAGGACATTCTACCAGAACAAGTGAGTTGTGTGTGTCCATCAGTGTGAACTATAGGATATTCTATCAGAACAAGTGAGTTGTATGTGCCCATCACTGTGGACTGTAGGACATTCTATCAGAACAAGTGAGTTGTGTGTGCCCATCACTGTGGACTATAGAACATTCTACCTGAACAAGTGAGTTGTGTGTGTCCATCAGTGTGGACCATGGGACATTCTACCAGAACAAGTAAGTTGTGTGTGTCCATCACTGTGGGACATTCTACCAGAACAAGTAAGTTGTGTGTGTCCATCTCTGTGGACTATAGAACATTCTACCAGAACAAGTGAGTTGTGTGTGCCCATCAGTGTGGACCGTGGGACATTCTACCAGAACAAGTGAGTTGTGTGTGTCCATCAGTGTGGACCATGGGACATTCTACCAGAACAAGTGAGTTGTGTGTGCCCATCACTGTGGACTATAGGACATTCTACCAGAACAAGTGAGTTGTGTGTGCCCATCACTGTGGACTATAGAACATTCTACCAGAACAAGTGAGTTGTGTGTGCCCATCAGTGTGGACCATGGGACATTCTACCAGAACAAGTGAGTTGTGTGTGCCCATCAGTGTGGACCATGGGACATTCTACCAGAACAAGTGAGTTGTGTGTGTCCATCAGTGTGGACCGTGGGACATTCTACCACGACATTTGCCTGCCAGGATACTGAGATTGTTCCGGGAATTTGATGTTTTGTTCAGTTCAATGAAGACAGTTTTAGCTGTTGGAAGATTCTGTCTTGTCAATGTGACAGTGTAAAACAGACAGTCCTAGCAGTAAAGTAATTCATAAAGTCACTCCACATGCAGGTTCTGCACCACAGTGTCATACATGGGGGAGACAGCCACAGATTCAGTGCCACTGCAGATCCTGAAGACCACCGGTCCATTGTAAGTGTTTCTGGTAAACATATCTCTGATAATTACTTTCTTTGTGTCCATGACCAGGAGAGCTGCAGAACTTCCATTTACCAGCCTGCATGTTGTTCCAGTACACTGTTCTGTGTCTGGTGATCTTGTAATAGATGAAGTTCCCACGGTAACATACCAATCCTGAAGACAATCCATATTCATGGACACATCAGGAGAATGGATTAGTAAGCTGTGACAGCAGGCAAGACAGCAAGCTGTGACAGCAGGCAAGACAGCAGGCAGGAGAGCAGGCTGTGACAGCAGGCAGTAAAGACAGAGAGACCTAGAGAGAGGATGTTGGACAGTCTGGCAGTGTGGTATGGAAGAGCATCTGTGTCAGAAACATGGCATATCAAACTGTGGGCAGTCTTGTTTACCAAACATACAGAAATCAATTGCATAATGTACTGCCTGGCATATTGGGCAGTATCTTAGCAGGTAGATTCTCTGGGATGGAGAAAACAGTGGCTGTGAGGGCATGTACTGACCACACAGTAGTTAGTTTTCTACCACACTAGCTAGTTCAGTCGCACTTTATTCATTCACTCCCATGCTAGATAGTTCAACTCCACACTTTTGATTTACTGCCACACAGTAGTAAGTAAGTTCATTCCAACATACTATTTAGGTTACTCCCACTAGTTAGTTCTCTCCCACACTAGTTTACTCCCACACAGTAGTTAATTCATTCCCACACTAGTTAGTGAACTACCACCCTAGTTAGTTCACGCACAGCTAGTTAGTTCATTCACAGCTAGTTAGTTCACTCATACACTAGTTATTTTACTCACATGCTTGTTAGTTCACTCCCACCCACATTATTTAGGTCACTCTCCCACAAAATGTTAAGTTAGCCCCCAGCCACACTATTTAGTTCACTCCGACACCAGGGTAACAGACACTTGCTATAGTCGAGCAATACTTGTTATAGCTCATGAACTACTTACAGTGTACCTGTCTGTGTTACACTTGTCTGTGTTATACCTGTCTGTGTTACACCTGTCTGTGTTACATTTGTCTGTGTTATACCTGTCTGTGATGTACCTGTCTAACATTGTCCTCTGTGAAAAAACCTTACACGTGTTGTACCTGTTTGTGTTGTACCTGTCTGTGATGTACCTGTCTAACATTGTCCTCTGTGAATAAAAATTACATGTGTTGTACCCATCTGTGTTACACCTGTCTGTGTTACACTTGTCTGTCTTATACCTGTGTTGTATCTGTCTGTGTTACACATGTCTGTGATGTACCTGTCTAACATTGTCCTCTGTGAACAAACCTTAAACGTGCTGTACCTGTCTGTGTTACACCTGTCTGTGTTACACTTGTCTGTGTTACACATGTCTGTGATGTACCTGTCTAACGTTGTCCTCTGTGAACAAACCTTAAACCTGCTGTACCTGTTTGTGTTACACCTGTCTGTGTTACACATTTCTGTGATGTACCTGTCTAACGTTGTCCTCTGTGAACAAACATTACACGTGTTGTACCTGTCTGTGTTACACCTGTCTGTGTTACACCTGTCTGTGATATACCTGTCTAACATTGTGAACAAACCTGCAGGAGAGGCTGACTGCAGTCTATCAGGAGTTAAATGATGATGACACCACTGCTCCCATCATGTACCGCATTCTCATTGAACATCCTGTGATACAAGATGTGGTTGTGGCCTGCAGGCAGTTTAAGTCTGTGGTAAGTCTGTCCTAACTTCAGTGTGTGTGTGTGGTAAGTCTGTCCTACCTTCAGTGTGTGTGTGTGTGGTAAGTCTCTCCTACCTTCAGTGTGTGTGTGTGTGGTAAGTCTCTCCTACCTTCAGTGTGTGTGTGTGTGGTAAGTCTGTCCTACCTTCAGTGTGTGTGTGTGAGGTAAGTCTGTCCTACCTTCAGTGTGTGTGTGTGTGTGTGGTAAGTCTCTCCTACCTTCAGTGTGTGTGTCTGTGGTAAGTCTGTCCTACCTACAGTGTATGTGTGTGTGTGTGTGTGTGTGTGTTTATGGTAAGTCTCTCCTACCTACAATGTGTGTCTGTGGTAAGTCTGTCCTACCTACAGTGTGTGTGTGTGTGTGTGTGTGTGTGTGTTTATGGTAAGTCTCTCCTACCTACAATGTGTGTGTCTGTGGTAAGACTATCCTACCTGCAGTGTGTGTGTGTATGTGTGTCTATGGTAAGTCTGTCCTACCTACAATGTGTGTGTCTGTGGTAAATCTTTCCTACCTACAGATTAAGTCTATGGTCTCTCCTACCTACAGATTAAGTCTATGGTCTCTCCTATCTACAGATTAAGTCTGTGGTCTCTCCTACCTACAGATTAAGTCTGTGGTCTCTCCTACCTACAGATTGTCTGTGGTCTCTCCTACCTACAGATTGTCTGTGAGTGTCTCTTCTACCTACAGATTAAGTCTGTGAGTGTCTCTTCTACCTACAGATTGTCTGTGAGTGTCTCTTCTACCTACAGATTAAGTCTGTGAGTGTCTCTTCTACCTACAGATTAAGTCTGTGAGTGTCTCTTCTACCTACAGATTAAGTCTGTGAGTGTCTCTTCTACCTACAGATTGTCTGTGAGTGTCTCTCCTACCTACAGATTGTCTGTGAGTGTCTCTTCTACCTACAGATTGTCTGTGAGTGTCTCTTCTACCTACAGATTGTCTGTGGTCTCTCCTACCTACAGATTAAGTCTGTGAGTGTCTCTTCTACCTACAGATTGTCTGTGAGTGTCTCTTCTACCTACAAATTGTCTGTGAGTGTCTCTTCTACCTACAGATTGTCTGTGAGTGTCTCTTCTACCTACAGATTGTCTGTGAGTGTCTCTTCTACCTACAGATTGTCTGTGAGTGTCTCCTACCTACAGATTAAGTCTGTGAGTGTCTCTTCTACCTACAGATTGTCTGTGAGTGTCTCTTCTACCTACAGATTAAGTCTGTGAGTGTCTCTTCTACCTACATATTGTCTGTGAGTGTCTCTTCTACCTACAGATTGTCTGTGTCTCTTCTACCTACAGATTGTCTGTGAGTGTCTCTTCTACCTACATATTAAGACTGTGAGTGTCTCTTCTACCTACAGATTGTCTGTGAGTGTCTCTTCTACCTACAGATTGTCTGTGAGTGTCTCTTCTACCTACAGATTGTCTGTGAGTGTCTCTTCTACCTACATATTAAGTCTGGTAAGTCTCTTCTACCTACATATTAAGTCTGTGAGTGTCTCTTCTACCTACAGATTGTTTGTGAGTGTCTCTCCTACCTACAGATTAAGTCTGTGAGTGTCTCTTCTACCTACAGATTGTCTGTGAGTGTCTCTTCTACCTACAGATTAAGTCTGTGAGTGTCTCTTCTACCTACAGATTGTCTGTGTCTCTTCTACCTACAGATTGTCTGTGAGTATCTCTTCTACCTACATATTAAGTCTGTGAGTGTCTCTTCTACCTACAGATTGTCTGTGAGTGTCTCTTCTACCTACATATTGTCTGTGAGTGTCTCTTCTACCTACAGATTGTCTGTGAGTGTCTCTTCTACCTACATATTAAGTCTGTGAGTGTCTCTTCTACCTACATATTAAGTCTGGTAAGTCTCTCCTACCTACAGATTGTCTGTGAGTGTCTCTTCTACCTACATATTAAGTCTGGTAAGTCTCTCCTACCTACAGATTGTCTGTGAGTGTCTCTTCTACCTACATATTAAGTCTGGTAAGTCTCTTCTACCTACATATTAAGTCTGTCCAAACCTACAGATTAAGTCTGTGGTCTCTCCTACCTACATATTAAGTCTATGGTAAGCTCTCCTACCTACAGATTGTCTGTGAGTGTCTCTTCTACCTACATATTAAGTCTGTCCAAACCTACAGATTAAGTCTGGTAAGTCTCTCCAAACCTACAGATTAAGTCTGTGGTAAGTCTCCTACAGACACTTTGACCAAAACAGTCTGGTGAGATTAGTCAAGATGATATTTCAAAAGTTTAAGATATTTCATATTTTCCCCACAGAATCTGACACCTTTCATATCACAAGCCCCCGTGGATGGATCAGTTCTCACTTCACTAGCTCTTGAATGATTATTTCTGAGCAGCCATCACAGTCAAATCAGACACTGCCCACGCAGACGTCAGCAAAAACCTGGCAGTGATGGCAGAGACAGGATGCTTCGTGTAAGCAGTTAGGTGACTGCCAGTGTAGACATAAACCGGTGTGGCTGCGGTAGCACAGCTCATATGCTGCTATCATGTCTCACATGTGCTGCTTTCATGTCTCACATGTGCTGCTATCATATCTCACATGTGCTGCTATCATATCTCACATGTGCTGCTATCATGTCTCACATGTGCTGCTATCATATCTCACATGTGCTGCTATCATGTCTCACATGTGCTGCTATCATGTCTCACATGTGCTGCTATCATGTCTCACATGTGTTGCTATCATGTCTCATATGTGCTGCTATCATGTCTCACATGTGCGGCTATCATGTCTCACATGTGTTGCTATCATGTCTCACATGTGCTGCTATCATGTCTCACATGTGTTGCTATCATGTCTCATATGTGCTGCTATCATGTCTCATATGTGCTGCTATCATGTCTCACATGTGTTGCTATCATGTCTCACATGTGCTGCTATCATGTCTCACATGTGCTGCTATCATATCTCACATGTGCTGCTATCATATCTCACATGTGCTGCTATCATGTCTCACATGTGCTGCTATCATGTCTCACATGTGTTGCTATCATGTCTCACATGTGTTGCTATCATGTCTCATATGTGCTGCTATCATGTCTCACATGTGCGGCTATCATGTCTCACATGTGTTGCTATCATGTCTCACATGTGCTGCTATCATGTCTCACATGTGTTGCTATCATGTCTCATATGTGCTGCTATCATGTCTCACATGTGCTGCTATCATGTCTCACATGTGCTGCTATCATGTCTCACATGTGTTGCTATCATGTCTCATATGTGCTGCTATCATGTCTGTTCTCTATCATAGCTTTATTTGAAGTTAAAGTAGTGCTAATATTCAAATGTCAAATGTTCGTGAACTTCACAAGTCAGTCGATAACATGACAGCATTAATTATTTTCTATTTCACTATCTAATGCAATGTTTTCAAAATAAATAGGATTGATCAGATTTTGACTAATGACATTCCTTGTATTTTTTGTCAAGAAGAGAGAAGATGGCTGGATTATACTGCCAGCTTGTCTGACTGACAAGTTCTGAGAGACGGTGTATGGTCTGACTGACAAGTTCTGAGAGACGGTGTATGGTCTGACTGACAAGTTCTGAGAGATGGTGTATGGTTTGTCTGACCAGTTGTGAGAGATGGTGTATGGTTTGTCTGACCAGTTGTGAGAGATGGTGTATGGTTTGTCTGACCAGTTGTGAGAGATGGTGTATGGTTTGTCTGACCAGTTGTGAGAGATGGTGTATGGTTTGTCTGACCAGTTGTGAGAGATGGTGTATGGTCTGTCTGACAAGTTGTGAGAGATGGTGTATGGTCTGTCTGACAAGTTGTGAGAGATGGTGTATGGTTTGTCTGACCAGTTGTGAGAGATGGTGTATGGTCTGTCTGACAAGTTGTGAGAGATGGTGTATGGTCTGTCTGACAAGTTGTGAGAGATGGTGTATGGTTTGTCTGACCAGTTGTGAGAGATGGTGTATGGTTTGTCTGACAAGTTGTGAGAGATGGTGTATGGTCTGTCTGACAAGTTGTGAGAGACGGTGTATGGTCTGACTGACAAGTTGTGAGAGATGGTGTATGGTCTGTCTGACAAGTTCTGAGAGACAATGTATGGTCTGTCTGACAAGTTCTGAGAGACAATGTATGGTCTGTCTGACAAGTTCTGAGAGACAATGTATGGTCTGTCTGACAAGTTGTGAGAGACGGTGTATGGTCTGTCTGACAAGTTGTGAGAGATGGTGTATGGTTTGTCTGACAAGTTGTGAGAGACGGTGTATGGTCTGTCTGACAAGTTGTGAGAGATGGTGTATGGTCTGTCTGACAAGTTGTGAGAGATGGTGTATGGTCTGTCTGACAAGTTGTGAGAGATGGTGTATGGTCTGTCTGACAAGTTGTGAGAGATGGTGTATGGTCTGTCTGACAAGTTGTGAGAGATGGTGTATGGTCTGTCTGACAAGTTCTGAGAGATGGTGTATGGTCTGTCTGACAAGTTGTGAGAGATGGTGTATGGTCTGTCTGACAAGTTGTGAGAGACGGTGTATGGTCTGACTGACAAGTTGTGAGAGATGGTGTATGGTCTGTCTGACAAGTTGTGAGAGACGGTGTATGGTCTGTCTGACAAATTGTGAGAGATGGTGTATGGTCTGTCTGACAAGTTGTGAGAGATGGTGTATGGTCTGTCTGACCAGTTGTGAGAGATGGTGTATGGTTTGTCTGACCAGTTGTGAGAGATGGTGTATGGTTTGTCTGACAAGTTGTGAGAGATGGTGTATGGTTTGTCTGACAAGTTGTGAGAGATGGTGTACGGTCTGTCTGACAAGTTCTGAGAGACGGTGTATGGTCTGTCTGACAAGTTCTGAGAGACAATGTATGGTCTGTCTGACAAGTTCTGAGAGACAATGTATGGTCTGTCTGACAAGTTCTGAAAGACAATGTATGGTCTGTCTGACAAGTTCTGAGAGACGGTGTATGGTCTGTCTGACAAGTTCTGAGAGACAATGTATGGTCTGTCTGACAAGTT